TATATATTGTCCTCTCCCTTCCCACTTATCACAGAAAGCAAGTTTTAACTTTCTATAAAAAGACAAGTTTCTCAATATCCATTTGTTGATTCCATAGGGAAGGAGAGTAAACTTTCCTTTCAGCACCTCAAAATTGCCGCTTATAGTTCTCTTCTGGAAAGTATCATTCAGAAAGCCATAATTTTCAGGATGTTAAATATGTCTTAAAGTCCTGGGTCAGCCAAGAAAAACTTTCACTTTAAAAAAACTTTCTCCTCTTCCTCCTGCACATTTTTACCCAGCTGCCGGCTTCTTTGTGGCGGCCATTACGGACCGCCGCTGCACCGTCTTGAGAAAAGGGGGTTTTGCCGGCCGGGGAGGGGGTCTGCAGCACCCCCAAACCCCTCTCCGGATCCCCCCTGTCTTCAGCCGCCCCTGCAGGGCAGCCTTAGCCTCCAAACCCGTCTGGATCGGAGGCACCAAAACGGCTATCGCGAATCCCTGCACAGAATCGCGAATCCCTGCCGCTAGCGAAGCCGACAAACCGGAAGTCCCCTTTAAACACTACTTATTTTAATGCAATAAATATGCATAATATGCACTTATGCTCTTTTGGTTAGCATGCTTTTTAACTATCACTCCTCCTTAATTGTCACATTGATGCTTGCCACCCACTCTCATATAAAACAGCCCCAATTATTATTTCTCTTAGGAACCACCGAAGTACAACCTATATTTAATTACATATAAGGGCAGGAATTTGTGTTGGGAACATTCTTCAGCACTATAGTCTTTATGAATTTGTTTTTAAAATTCTATGAGAAGCTGGTGTGTAAATTCATTCTGCTTTCATGACTTATATTTGTTGCTGTATTAGTTTCTAGTTTGAGACCAGAAACAGAGTTATTTTATAGAAGTTTACGAGGCTCAGTTTTTAATAAATCAGTAGGATATGTTGGGCAAAATAAGTACTTTCTGATTGCTTGGTTTGAAAATTATGCAGGTGAAAGTAAATTTTCTTGATTAATTGGATGCTATGCCTAAGGATATCATTATATTTTATTTTTAAAAGCTTTCTATGGATGGCTTCCACACATGCATATTAATATTATCTGATTTATCATGGATCTAATTCTTCCCACCTTAGTCACATTAGGATCTGGAAATATTTTCATGAAATATATTCATTTCATGAAATATATTCACTTCCTTCCTTCCTTCCTTCCTTCCTTCCTTCCTTCCTTCCTTCCTTCCAATATAAGCTTTTTTCCCTCCCATTTTCCCATTTGCTTGAGGATCAGAAGAGCAAGCATCTTATTTTTGATTCTGTAACATTTGTAACTTCTGCCTTTTTTCTTCCTCTGTGAAAGAGCTGTTAGAAGGATTTCATTTCTTTTGTTGTAAGTAGGTACCCTCCTGGCTTATTTTGTACCACTGTTAATAACATATAGAAAGAGCAAGTGTAGGCTTCCAGATCTTTAGAACAGCTGTGTTTCCCTTTGAAAAATAGTGCATCTTGTCTTGATTGAATGTCTTTTGTCATTCCCCTAGACATATTACAGCGAAAGCATTTTAAGAGCACTTTCAACAATAACAACAAAAACAACAAAGCATTTATGGATACTGCATTCTGTATCCCAGACTTAAGATTCTAATGTGTAATCCCCTTGGTTGTCCTTGTATTTTTTTTATTATTATCATTCTCAGTACAGCAGAAGGTTTGACGAGAGAACATACATCTGATGTAAGTGGATGGCAAACCTTTTTACAAGCACTGGCTTACTTTTTGAAGATGTTCTTTGGTTCTGCAGCACTGGGGACTCTGACTGGTCTTATTTCTGCATTAATATCCTTTGCTTTTAGATAAAACAAATACTTGCTCTTTAATAACAACCCATTTCTAAGATGATTATTCTTTTAAAACATAACATTTTGAATAGCAAGAGTTAGCGAGTAACAATTTCAGATTTGCATGAAACTCATATTATTTGTACAAGACTTTCATTAAGGCCCAAGTTGCTCTATAATAACTCATCATACATGCTGATGCAGTGTTGCTGGCTGGGGAATTCTGGGAGTTGAAGTCCACACATCTTCTAGTTGCCAAGGTTGAGAAACACCATGCTTATGGGTGAGATTAATATATAATTTTCCAGCTGTAGTTTTAGTATATTCATTGTATTTTTAATAACATGTTAGTGCATGTTTTAGTTTTCAAATGCATTAGATATCTGATTGATTGAATTTTTTATTTTCATGTTGGCAGGTGTGTGTGTGTCCGTGGCCATGGTCTGTGGCCACAAAAGGTATTTAAAGAGGGTTTGTGGTGAAGAACCCTCTACTGCTCTAGGCAATTGGTTTCATCTTGAACTGTTCTCATTGGTCAGATTTTTTTTGTCACCGAACATGCCTTTGTATCAGTCTTTTATTATTTGGTGAATGATTAATGTTAATATTTCTCTGTTGAGCCGCAATCTGGCTACATAGTATATTAAAGATATTGGACATCTTCTCATGATGATTCAACCTATTACTTCTTAGCCTTTTAAGCAATGAATTCTTTTCTGTTTTTTCTGACTGGCAATTGAAAACTATTAGGCTATGATATGCTTGAGGCCATGAAGACAGATGACTTTTATGCCACTTCTCAGGATTTCTCTTGTAAATGCCAAAGATTGAAGCAGACTTCAGCTTCATCACCTCCCATTTAATTACACTCTCAATTATCTTTGTTGTTTTTACATTGTTTAAAGAAAGCCTTCTGTAAGTCCAAATTCTACACATCTGACCAGCAATTGGTAGAGCTAAAGTTATTTGTTATGGCTGGACTGTGCCTATTAGAAATCTATGTTTATTCTTTGACATTTTTAGTGCTTTATGTCTGCATTATGTCTAACAAAGGAAAACATTAGTTGGACAGTTCCAAATGGTTTGACTACAGTCCAGCTCCCCTTTTAATCACTATTGCCCTGAGCCAAATATTATAATAGTTGACATCTGGAACATTTAGAGCAGAGCATGTCACATTGGAAGGCAAAGGACAATTGAGTGAGGTTTTTTTTTTTTTCATGATAAGATGGTAAAAAAAACATTTTTATTTCTGTGGATTCAATAGATCACATTACCTTGTTATCTAAGGAATGTTAATGCTCAGGGTTGAACTGTGGAATCTTTGGTGTTCTCTGAACTTGGTTGTTTTGTTGCAGACATTTCATTACCGAGTTAGGTGCCATTTTTAGTGCTAGAAAGAAATGGGGTTTGCTCTGTTTATATGAGTTTGGGTGGCACAGTGGTTAAAATGCAGTACTGCAGGCTACTTCTGCTGACTCCTGACTAACTGCAATTTGGCAGTTCAAATCTCAACAGGCTCAAAGTTAACTCAGCCTTTCATCCTTCCGAGGTCGGTAAAACCCAGATTGTTGGGGGCAATATGATGACTCTGTAAACTGCTTATAGAGGATGTAAAGCACTGTGAAGAGGTATATAAGTCAAAGTGCTATTGCTATATACAATAGCTTTCCCTTCCAGAGTTTGTGGGGATGTTGTTTTTTTCCTTGGTGGTAACTTGATTTGTTTACTGCTTGATTGTTTGTCTGAGTTATAGTTCCTTGATTTAGGGTATTGATTATTGATTCATTGTTTGTCTAGTGTTAATCCTATTAATCCTGTCTTATCTGGGTAGTGATTACTGGTGAGATGTTTGGTTCTTTTGATTGTTGTTTAGCTTTTTTATTGTTTCTTCTTAATAGCATGCAAACTTTGTTTATCTTTATGAACCTGTTCATGGTTGATTTGTCTGACTGCCAAGCTTCTTTCTAGGAATGACCTAGCTATTTTGGATTTAGGTTGATCTAAGATGCTCACAGTTTTTGAGTTGAAACTATGATTAGGTCTGCCTACGTGTTGTGAAATTATGGAGTTTTCATCATGTCTTCTGACTGCTAGTTAATGTTCATGGATGTGCTTTGCTAGTTTTCTACTTGTTTCATACATAGGTTGTTACAGTCCTTACACTGTAGTTGCTCCTGTTTTTACTTCTTGGGTTACTGACTCTTGGGTTACTTAAAATGTTTTGGAAGGTTTTAGTTGATGTCATATGGTTAGCTATGTGATAAGGAGCAGTGGTGGGCTTCTACTGGTTTCACAATGGATTCGGTGAGTGTGCGCTTCGCTTTTTCCAAGGTTTTTTGTAAGCTCTTTAGCTATATTGTATTTTGGAGTCCCTGGTAAATGATACAATTGGACAAAGAAGTATTTAGGCTTGATATTTTGGGGTGTCCATAGTAGTGTAGGAATATGAGAGCCTTACATTCACTGTTCTTTTTTTCTGATTGACCTTGGTTGGATTGTTTAGAGTTCTCTTGATTAGGTTGTCTACTGCCTGTACTGGATTGGTGTTTATTTGTATGTAGGTTACTGATGTCCAGTAATTCTTTGGCTTTTTGCACGCATTGTGATTTGACCATAACAACTTTCATTGCTCAGGGGATGATGGTTTGGTCCTTTGGATTTTTTTTTAGGGCTGCTCTGTCCTCTACTTTGAATGGGTTCTGATTCTTTGTTTGATGGTGGTCTGATTGTCTACCTTATGTTTTGTCAGGTATTTGTGGCAAGGCCTGTGGTTTTAAATGGTGCTTCTAATGTTGCAGATTCTAACCAACAAGCATAATATTTGTTAATGTTGAGGCTTTCTGTGGGGTCTTGTCTGTTGTGGTAGATAGTGAGCAACCGGACATTTTGACAACCTGTTCAGGTATGTCTTTGCTTCTGGGGTTCAGCTTGAGCATTTTGGTTTGGAATTTTGTTTTCCTTTTTCTAGCTTCTGTTAAGGATGTAATCTTGATGGTGGTTGTCAGCATTTTTATGTGTTCTGAGATTATAGCTTGTTCTAGCTATTCATGTTTTGTGTTTTACCTCAGATTATAACTTTAACTTTCTGTTGAAACACAAAAGGTTTTGTGTGTTATCTTTAATGGGTAACTAGAAATTTGTGCGAGAAATTACACTTGTGCATTATCAAGATTTTAGATCAGGATCAGACAGCCTGTGGTCTTTAGATGTTTAAATTAATATTTAGACCACATAGTTACACAATACCAGATCATTGCACACGCTGTTTGGAATGTTTGAATCACATTATTAAAAAGAAAAATTGAAGGTATCACATTCATCTTGATTTAGATAGGGATACTATCGCAATCTGGAGTATTTGAAATGTGCTTATAAAAGGCTCATAAAATGTTTAAAATTCTTTCTTTATATGTATTGATTGAAATAATTCTTTTTGATTTTTTTCAAGCCTAGGATGAAGGGCCTGTAGCTTTTGAAATATCATTAGATTTAGCTTCCCATCATCCCTGATGATGATGAGTCCTACCGCTTGGAGCTATAGGGAGTGGGAGCTCAACAACATTGGGTTAGCCACTATTAAAACTGAATATTAATTAGCTTATAGAGAAACTTGGAAAATTAGACCATGCAATGCTCAGAGTTGCAAAGAAGATTTACAACAGCATCAAAGCAGGGTTAACCGTTTTAGAAGCAGGATTGGAACAAGTGATTCCTATATGATGATTCTCCAACTTTATGAAACTGTATTTATTCAAGTATTCTTGAAAGCAGATATTTGAACAGACTGAAATAGCACATTAGGCAAAATGGCTGTTTAAAGGTAGGTATTTTTTCAGAGGTACTTTTTCAGTCAAAAGATCTGAAAAATTTAAAGGAGTCTTTAAAAGAGTTTTGATAGCAGTTTACTAGAGGTAGTGTGTTTGTCGTATCCATTCTTAGCCTTGAATATGAAGTATAAGAATGGATCATAATTGAAAAGTCAGATTGACTATCCAAGCCAACAAGCATAAATGTGCCCAATCTCTTTATCTTTATTCTTTTTGCAGATATTTTGACCACTAAAATTATTAAGTGGCTTCTTTATAGACAAAAATCTATGTTTATCACAGAGAAAGTAAGTTGGCTTTCATTCCATTGAAGTGTTCAGATAATGCTTTAAAATAAGTTAAAACCACATATTTAGAATACAAAGAAACTCACTGTGGAATTGTTTCTATATGTAGTACAGACATATTTACCTATCTGCCCTCAGAACCTTAATCTATATATATAAAAGCGAAATACTACTCATGCATCATCACAAAATCTCCAGAACTGTAAAGCCCACAAACTTGAAATTTGGCATGTATGTTCCTCTTGGCTTCTAGGTGCTCACAAAGAAAGGATTTTTCAAAATGACCATCAAAGCATTAGTATTTTGTATATTATTATTAACACACTCTGATGCTTCTACTCCCCCTCCCACCTGAAAAGTAATCTGTTCCAAATGCAAAAACACAAGCAGAGGAGAGGAGTATCCATGTCCATTTCAATTTCACAGCACAAAACAGCACCAAGTACAGAACAGTTGAGCTACGCCACGCCCAGGCTCCTTGCTGTCTCCTTGCTCACACAGCAAATACTGTTTCACTTTCCAAACAGCCCTCAACTCTCTCACACTGACAGAATTCTAGCCAGATGAATACTGATGGATGCTGGTAGGCAGAGGCAGAATTCCCCCCTCCCCTTATTTTCCTCCCCAAAAACTAAGCCCAACCACATAGTTTCATAGCAAAGCACAGATATCGAGCTAGTCTGTTAGAAGATGATCACTGATAATTATATGTTCAGCATCTCATATACTGAAAGTTACCGTTGTATGTAAGAATAGTTAAACCTTGTTGAAGTCTGCAAAATTTAAGAAGCTTAACAACTACAACATTATTTTCAAGTAAATTCTTAAATATAATGATTAGGTGTAAAGCTAAGAATATTATAAAGTTAAAAGTCCTCTTATAATAAAATCATTTTTCTGTGCACTTTGTTAGAACCTTTAAAAATCCTCTAAAAATAATTCCTTGTTGCACAGAGCACCATCACCTGGTAATTTCTGTTATTCCACTTGAAAAAGTCCATCAGCTAAACAGTATGAAGAAAAATAATTGCTCTGTATGATTCAACATGAAATGTTGAGCTCTAATGACAAATAAGAACTTCCTAATTATCTGACTTTCCTATTTCATCTTTCTTATTTTTCTTAACTGTAATTAACGTACTAAAACATATTGATTTACGAAAAACTCCTTCCCTGGAGTTTGGAATGATGATTATCTTTGCATATCTTCCTTATGGACTTGCAGAAGGAATTTCTCTCTCAGGTAAGTTGCAAAACAAATTCCCTTGAAATTATTGACAATATTGAAAAAGCTTTTACTTCTCTAGAGCTCTCAGAGTATATTTCCTCCCTACAATCAATGAAGGCTATTACGACAGAGAAGTAGATAATTTATCCTCCCAGTTGTTATATTTTCTCACATTTAGATTAACTCCTTACTGTACACTCAAAAAAAGATTTCACCAATTTGGAGTTTGGCAAATCACTCTTTCAAATCAAGATGTAATGTTCCCTGGCGAAGTTCATTGGCTGTGCTAAATCATAATGAGATTGGTTTCGGCTTAAAAATAATTATGGTTTTTCATAGAACCATGGAAAATATACTCTTAAGTGACTTAGTTCTACCTGATGCTCAGAATTGTTGTGGTTGTTAGTTGTGAAGTTGTGTCCAACCCATTGCGACCCCATGGACAACGTTCCTCCAGGAACCTTCCTGTCCTCTACCATCCTCTGGAGTCCATTTAAGCTCACATGTACTGCTTCAGTGACTCCATCCAGCCACTTCATTCTCTGTCATCCCCTTCTTCTATTGCCCTCAATCTTCCCCAGCATTAGGCTCTTCTCCAGTGAGTCCTTCCTTCTCATTAGGTGGCCAAAGTATTTGAGTTTCATCTTCAGGATCTGGCCTTCTAAGGAGCGAGCAGTCAGGATTGATCTCCTTTAGGAATGACCGGTTTGATCACCTTGCAGGTGCTATGTTCAGTTGATGGTCTAAAAGTATTCCTAGATCCTTCTGACACACATTGCCACCAAATCAATAGATGTTTGACTTTTTGTATGCATATGGAGGATCTTGCTTTTCTCACAGATGAGCATCTTTGCATTGATTATGATCCAGTTTTTATTTTCAAAGAGGTCATTTGAATTGTAGTTTTGACTTATACGATACTAACCAATTATCCTAGCTTGGTATTATCTAAAAATTTGAGAAGCAGTTCTTCTGTTTCCTTCATCAGTTATAAAGATGTTAACCGGCATTGGGCCGAAGACATAATCCTGGTGAGACTTTATCCATACTTTTCTTTGGGTTAATGCAGAACCACTTCAAGCAGCTTTTTAAGTAATAGTTTGAAGCCTGAATCCAGGTAGTATATTGGTCAGAAAACTACATCCAATTCCAGACAACATTGGGTTTTATTTATTTAAGAACTGTCAAAGAAGGCTCTTTCCAGGTCTCCCATACAGGATATTTTGTGTTGTGATCACCTGGGTCGTTAGTCGTCTTCTCTGGAATAGTGTTCCCCTAGAGATTAAATTGACACTGATCTTTTCACTTTCTGTAAAACAATCAAGGTAAAGATAAAGGTTCCCCTCGCACATACGTGCTAGTCGTTTCTGGCTCTGGGGGTGGTGCTAATCTCCATTACAAAGCCGAAGGGCCAGCGCTTTCCGAAGACGTCTCTGTCGTCATGTGGCCGGCATGACTAAACGCCGAAGGAGCACAGAACGCTGTTACCTTCCCATCAAAGTGGTCCCTATTTTTCTACTTGCATTTTTACATGTTTTTGAACTGCTAGGTTGGCAGAAGCTAGGACAAGTAACAGGAGCTCACTCCATTATGCCGTGCTAGGGATTCGAACTGCCGAACTGCTGACCTTTCTGATCAACAAGCTCAGCGTTTTAGCCACTGAGCCACTGCATCCCTCTAAAGAATTAAGACTTGGCTTTTTCAGCCTTGGGATCTAACGTGTTGAATTTGTCCTTCCTGCAGAGAAAAGTTGTTTTTAATTATACTATTGAACTCAGGCTTGTAAACTGCTCAGAGCCAGTTTTCAATTGTAGCAGCATAAAAGCTTGGAAACTGAGCTAAAATAAAATTGTACTAAGCTTGGATTTAAAGATACCATTCAGTCGTAGATTAAAGGAAGAAGAAGCCTGGAGGTTAGTGAGAATCCAGGTGCATATATCTTCTGCACTGCACTGTATTTGGTTGGGATTTTTGTATTTTGTATTTTTGCAGTTGGAATGTTTACTTCAGTAATGTACTCAGATAGAAAAATGTGCAGTAATTTTAATTGGATACACTAGCAGTGTATCAAATTGCTTGAACTAGAAAAGAAGAAAAGTGATCTGGAAAGTATATCAAATTTCTTGGACTGGAAGAGGAGAAAAGGAAGAAGACCACGACAATTTTGAACAACCTCTTTTGCATAGAATGCTAAATTTAGTATCTAGTATGGTTATTTTAGTAACACACACTGTAAATTGTTTTAGAGTCTGGGATAATAGTCCATATATCTACAAAGGTTTAGGGATGTTGTGATTTTGGCCTCACTCAAAAGAGATTTATTATGATATCTTGTAGAGAGCAAGATTTTACCATTAAGTATTCATGTTTATGATTTGAAGCATTATTATGTATCTGCAGGTGTGGGAGAACCTGGCCCCAAATATGCCTTTCCCTAAGTGCACTCTGCCTCTCATTAATCTCAAACATCTCACAGAGTGAAATATATGTGGTCTTGCAAGTAACTGTTTATCCCCTACTTTTCTAGGTTTTTTTCTGTATCGTTGGTTAAGAAACACCATGGGCATTTAATAACAACTGTGAAGTCTAAGCATATTTGTATGCATGCTGATTTTACCAGAAAGCATCTGTTTTGATAGCTATAACAACTTCTGTCCATTTAGGATAGCACTTCCAACTTTGTGTATGCAATTCAGAGTGGATTTTACAGCTGTTCTCTAGTCCTGAAGTAACCTCTGGAGAGCCAACACTTGGTTGTTGTTTTTTTATAGCCATTTCATTCCAAATAACATCTTGGGAATTGTAATGGAACTAGTAATTAAAATTCTGGAGCACTTTCACTAATAGGATCATAATCATTTAGTAGAATATTAAATTTACATTGGATAAAATGAGTTATGTAATGCAGCAACTAAAAGGATTATGATGGGTTTGAAGTTCACTGAATCTGTCAGCTGTTATCAGATCACTGTTGTATTCTCATTTTGCAGCGGCTTTGCCATCTCTCTCTTTTTTGGTATAATATCAAATACGACTTCTTCATTTTCTATGCACAAAACTTGTTTTTGTACTCTGGGAATAAACAAACAGCAGTGTCAGATAACATCCAGTTGGGATCTGGTAGTATGATCCATATGATACTGGTTCCATGGAAACTCCATTCAGTCTCTACAGCTTTGGAGTAGCTTGAACACTTTCTTCTAGCCTGTGAACAGAATGTAAAGGAAAAGCATGTGAACTGAATCATTTCCCTCAATAAATCAAATAGAACGTTTTTGAATTATTTGTTTAATTGGGCTCTGTATCTAGTTTTAGGACTTGTGTGGAGAACAGATAATCTTTCAGGTTACATTTTTATAGTAATAGCACTTAGACTTGTATATACCGCCCATAGTGCTTTACCACACTCTGGGCAGATTACAGTGTCAGCATATTCCCCGCAACAATCTGGGTCTTAATTTTGCCAACCTCAGAAAGAAGGAGGGCTAAGACAACCCGGAGCCCATCAGGATTGAATTCCAGATTGTGGGCAGAATTAGCCTGCAATACTGCATTCTAACCAGTGCATCATCAGGTCTCCTGCATATTTATGCAGAAATATTGAAAATTCTTAAGGTTTCATGAACTATTAAGCTCTGCTGTATCAGAAAGATCCAATTATTCAGTATATTAGAGTTATAGTATGTAATTGTAGCCCTCAGTCATATGGGAGTGTGGGTATAATTTGGAACAGGAGAATATAGTCTTCGGGAGCTGAAATTCAATAGATTTGAGGGGAAGGTTGGTCGCAAAGAGGCCTTTTCAATCCTAGCATTATTTTCCTGCAAACTTTACCACATTCTTCATAGTGAAAGAGTGAGAATATTGTTTATGATGAAACCGATATCTATAATCTATGGTTAAATCTTAGTTTGGCTATTCTCCTTGAGTCTATTAACTAGTACTTGTTTGCCTGTTGTTGGCCTAGTGGAAACAACTCTCAGTGTGGTGATATTTTGAGTCCTTTATATGTGCTATGTTGCTTTTCTGATAATTGGAATTACATAATTAGGAGGGCAATTTTTTTGTAATTTCTAGGGTTGGGTCTTTATTTACAGTAGAAAATATGGATTTGATATTTCATGTAGAGTAGCGATATTCATCAGTCTTAAGTGAAAGTACTTACTCCCAGTGCAAATAGAAAACTCCTGTGTAAGCAGCCCAAGTCCTTCCAAGGTCTTAGCTGCCCCCAATTTTGAAGTACAAGTGCATATGCATATTTAGGTGCTTTTGTTCCTTCAGCAGTTGAGCCAAAGTGTTGCGTCACTCCGGGCAGCTGACCCAACTCATGTTGTTGAATTGTGCAACTACTAGACCTGAGCTTCCAACTTGAATCACTGCTCATGTTGTTGAATTGTGCAACTGCTAGACCTGAGCTTCCAACTTGAATCACTACCTTTCCCATTCTTGTGCTGCACAACAGTTTTGATTATTTATTGGCTTGCAATTAATAACAGTTTAAAGAAAAATATGACTTTATACATAGGTATATCTAATGGTGAAATTTTTCTTCCAGGTATCATGGCTATCTTGTTTTCCGGCATCGTAATGTCTCACTATACCCATCATAATCTTTCTCCGGTTACACAGATCCTAATGCAGCAGACTCTGAGAACTGTTGCATTCATGTGTGGTAGGTGCTGTCTGTTGCTTGGACTCTTACTATCAAAGCAGACTTTTCTAAATGCTTCCTGATTATCCTACCAGTTTTTGCAATGGCAATCTACTTTAATTTAAACATCAAATATGTTTCAGTTATGATTACACATTTTTGTCCTGCCAGTTGTCCAGGAGCTATGGTCAATGGAGTTGAGAGTTCTCTCTACAGGTGTTCCTTAACTACCATTCATTTAGTGACCATTCAGAGTTTCAACAGCTCTGAGAAAATGGACTTATGACTGGTCTTTGTACCGTTGCAGCATCCCCACAATCCTGTAATCAAAATTTGGGCACTTCAATCAGAAGAGAGCTGCAAGGGACCTTGGAGGACTTCTAGTCTGCCCCCCCCCCCTGCTCAAGCAGGAGACTCTATACCATTTCAGACAAGTGGCCATCGAGTCTCTTCTTAAAAACCTCCAGTAATGAAGCACCCACAGCTTCTGAAGGCGAGCTGGTTAATTGTCCTCACTGTTAGGAAGTTTCTCCTTAATTCCAAGTTGCTTCTCTCCTTGATTAGTTTCCATCCATTGTTTTGTGTCCTGCTTTCAGGTGCTTGAGAAAATAAATTGACCCCCCCTGGCAAATGGCATACATGTATGTATGGCATACATACTACAACGTCTTGGGGTCATTGATTGCCATTTGTGACTTTCCCAGCTGGTTCCTGCAAGCAACATCAATGGGAGAAACTGGGTTTGCTTAACAATCCGTGATTTATTTAACAACCGGAGTGATTCACTTAATAACTGTGGCAAAAGTTGTGAAATCAAACACAACTCACTTAACAACTGCCTTGCTTAGCAATAGAAATTTCGGCCCCTATTGTGATTATAAGCCGAAGCCTCCTTTTATTGCAATCAGTAAATTGTTATTGATCATGTTGATTGGATTCCATTCCACCTATACTTGATAGGAAAAGCTGGCCCATTGTCATCAAACAATGTACATGGTAATAAATTGCATATAATATAATATGTTTTCTTTTTATTACAATGTTAAGGCACAGGAATGGCAATAGGTTAACATGAGCTGATGGATAAAATCAAAATATTTTTCTTCCTGGTCCATGGTTGAGGGAAACTTGCAATTCTGCAGGTGTGGCTGAAGTATGGTAAACCTGCACTCACCCCAATCAATACTGAAATAATTTGGAAATGTGTCCACAACACCTGCGGACTGGGGAGTATCAGTCTGGAAGATGCCTATCCGTTCCTGGTGTCTTTTTCCTGTCAGACTGATTCATTCTCGAGTTCCTCCTCCCTCATCTAGTCTAATCTCTCAGAAGATGCTCCTGGCCAGATAAATGTATTTTAAAAATAGTTTTGAAGGTTGCAGCATATGGCTTCTCTATATCTCAGCAGATGGCAGCACCTTGCTGTCCTTGCATTGGTTCAGAAGGAGATTTTTACATTACGACTTTTGTATAACTCCTCAGACATTCGGTAGGCCTCGTTTGACCCAATAGGACTCCCAACTAAGCATGCATACCATTGCAGCCTTAAATTGTAAAATTTGTAGTCATTGGTTGATCGTGTGTGTGTGTGTGTGTGTGTGTGTGTGTGTGTGTGTGTGTGTGATTTCAAAGAATGTGAATTATGGGTAAGAGGAAGCAGAGCTGTTTCTTTAACTGTAGGAGCATTTCTTCACCACAATTCTCAAAACAGACCTACTAATATGGAGTCTGCCAAGCAGAAAAGTCACCTTTACTGACAAGGAGGATAAAATGTGCTGTAAATCTTTTCCTCTCTTCTCCTCCAAGCTCTGGCTAAGTCTTGCCACAAGATTAATAACAAAATGGATTTCTTTGACTTTTTTTCTCGCCTCCAGGGTACTTTTAGATGATAGAGAGGCAACATGCATTCATTTCCATTAAAAGATTATGGATACAGTACCAGGAAACTATTTGAAAAGGGGAAAATATAGGAAATACATTGCTGTAGTTCTCTGTACTTTGTCCTTTCTTAGCTGACATTTGTTTTTAAATGTATTTATTATTTAGAAGATATTAAACTAAACACAGTATTAATGGGCCAGAGGTGGAAAAAAAACCTTACAATTTCATGGATGCAGGAATCTGAGGCAGCGCTACACACACACACACACACACACACACACACACACACACACACACACAAAACCTGCATTGCTAGACTAAATCACATTTTCACTGCTCCTTTGCATGTGTTCTTTCACAATAGCCAGCTAGATACTACCACATGACCAGAACATGTGGGAAACAGACTTGTGGTTTGTTCCATCATTAAGTGTGCTCTTTGAACATGGGCATTTCACTGAGCTGTTAAAGCTAAATTAATATCAGATCTGAATGTTGCTTTCTGATGCAGGGGCACAGAAGGTTGAACATCTGTTAGGAGAGGAAAAGAGGAAATAGCTGGGGGAAACAGGAGATTGTGAAAAAAAAAATACTTTGCTGGCAAGACAAATCATACTGCAGGCCCCAGTCATCACTGTTACCCAGTTACTGTAAACCTACATATTGTGTATCTTTTCAGTCTGTGCTCCATTGCTAAACTGTATGCAGCAAATGCTAGGTTTTAATAGAACCCTGTTGAAGAAGCTAAGTTTCTGTTGGACTCGGCCCAGACCCTCTGAAAACAATAACTCAGTGAGAGATGAATCTCCTAATCTGTCCTTTTCCTTTTGGAAGAAGCGGGTTATGTATCTGGACATTTTGAACAGTTCTCTTTCTTATTTTTCTTTGTTATGTCATCTAGGAATGGAAGAGACTATATCTGCTTCAAACATTTCTTTTGAAAACCTGAAGTTTTAAAAAATTAAACATAGGGACTTGAATGATCAGTGTGGTATTTTGTGAATACTTATTTCTGATTTTTCTCTTTCAGAAACATGTGTTTTTGCATTTCTGGGCCTGTCAATTTTTAGCTTTCCTCACAAGTTTGAAATGTCCTTTGTCATCTGGTGCATAGTAGGTATCAAATTATAGTAGCGTTTGTTTCGCCTGACCCCAGTCTGGCAAGAAGGGCTATATAATGTGTCATAGAGAACTCCAATTTATTATTTATTGCAACAATTTGCATGTTGCCTGCTTATTGGAGTCTAGCTGGATTACAATATTAAAAACAATGCAACGTGAATGTATAATAACACAAATTAAACTATCTCTTCCTTCACTGTAGACAATAGCTTTCTAAAGGATCTATGAAAATGACTCTTAAAAGTTGAATTAGGTTCTTCTGGAAGAGCCAATAGGTGCATAGGACATTGTTTTGCCATTGGTCACTGTCTTCAGGGTGAACTGTGGTTGGTTTTGAGATTACCCAGAATGTTCATTGATTGTCATAGCAGTCTTAAAACCTAAGAGGAGGGGTTATCCTTGTAACTCTGTCACTGAACTGCATACATCGTTACAACAACATTTGATAATTTTAAAAGTTAAATTCTTTTTAAACTTTTGGTTAATGTAGACTAGCATAGCTCTTCTCCTGACATGTTAGTATGCAGCGAACTCATGCTAAAGACAGCTTTGTATTTCCAGTTAATTTATTCATTCTGAGGCAGCCAAGACTAGAAAGAAAACCCTTGGTTAAGAGGAGGCTAAATTGCTAGGGCAGTGCATACACTACCTCATAGAATCAGGCTAATATTAGCATTTTACTTCTAGGACTTCCCAGTTAGTAATGTGTAAAAGTGATGTTGCATTTATTTACCCTACATATTCTATTTATCTATTTTATCTATTTCAATTTTTATAGTAATCCATCTCAAAGGCATCATGCTAAGCAACTCGCAGCATTTAAAACACAATACAGGATCTTGACTTACAACATTTTGTTTAGTGATCTTTCGAAGTTACAAGGACTGAAAAAAAAATAACATGACATTTTTCATACTTAAGATTGTTGCAGCATCCCCATGGTAATGGGGGAGCAGTAAAACTTCAGATGTTTGGCAACAGACTTATATTTATGATGGTTGCAGTGTCCAGGGTCATGTGGTCATGTGACCTTCTGACAAGCAAAGTTCACTTAACTTTGTGGGAAGCCAGGTTCACTTAACAACCCTGTTACTCCTAACAACTGCAGTGATTCACTTGAACAACTGTGGCAAGAAAGGTCATAAAATGGGGCAAAACTTACTTAACTATCTTGCTTAGCAACATACAGAAATTGCGCTCCGTTTGGTCATAAGATGACTATCTGTATAAAACACCCAGAATTAAAGAAATATTGCTTGTACTCTTTGAGTTGAATACAACCAGATTCCTATTCATTCGCTCCTTTTCTTCCCTCTCTTATATAGTATGCTCTCATACTTGTTTGTTTGAGGGTTAAGACCTTCTGTTTTCATTTGCTGTTAAGCGAATATACAGTAGACTAGAGCCTTAGCTTAGGGCTCCTAAGTAGCACATTGTGGTCTATGAAGATTCTCAGTCAACCAGGACACGGTTGTCCCAAAGATGCTTTTTCAAGAGGCAACTGGACTTTCCGGTTTTTCTGCTTCTTCAGAGCAGAAGAAGCTTCTTGGATGAGAAGCAAAACGCCTTCAAAGAAAAACCAGAAAGTCCAGTTGCCTCTTGAAAAAGTACTTTTGGGATAGCAAATTAAGGGTTTGACCCTCCCTTTTCAAATAAGAATAAAATAAAGATAAGCATAGGTATATAAACGATGCAACATATCTGAGAAAAGAAAAATGGGTTTGTTACTAAACTCAACCCACAAAATCCTGTTGAATTTGACCTAAGGGCTACCTGAACTCCTTTTCTATATTACCTAGATATAGAGGTGACCCATAAAGAGGTTATGAATCCCAATTCTAATTTTCCCATTGTTACGTCTCTTATTAAAAGCTAAATTTTGCTTCTTTTTTTGACAGGTGCTTGTCCTTTTTGGTAGAGCGGTCAATATTTTCCCCCTCTCTTATTTGCTCAATTTCTTCCGTGATCACAAGATCACTCCCAAAATGATGTTCATCATGTGGTTTAGTGGTAAGTTATTGCCATTTTCATTCTTGGGTATTGTTCTATATAGCATCATAATTGTAACTGGATCATGTTAAAACTATGTGCTGAGTTTCTGCATAGAAACTTTCATTTTCTCTATTTTTGACTGACTGATTGCTTGCTATTTCCCACTATACAAAGGAATTGTCTCCAACTGCTCAGGAGAAAAAAAATATTTGGGATAGAGATAAATCTTTCACTGCACATTTCTAATTCTGTATTGAATAAATACATAAATTCTTTGCATAAAATAGGAAGTAGTTCAGCTTTCCCCCACATGGTCTTATCTAGATGCATTGTGAAAACAATTTCTATATTGTCCTAGCAACTTTGCAAAAATGGCTAGGAATTCAGAATTTCGAGCCCAAGAATATGGAGTTTCAAGGAGGGAAAAAGCTAATGAGATATTATCTTTAAAGCCACATGTTGTCTTTAAAGTCTTTTTCTCAAGCCCACCATCGTTCTTCTCCTGTACCTCCTTAAGCATTGATAGCATGTGTAAGGATACATTTCCTTGCAGGCTTTCCCCAGCACACAGACACCTTATACACATCTTGGCCAGCAGTTAGTAACTCAGTTTAAATGGAGAAAGTGCTGCCTGGGAGGCAGATAGCTCTGTATTAGTATATTTGCCTATAAGTTTATTTCCAGTCCATTGCTGAATGCCACATAGAGCCATTAGGGCAAAAAGACTGCCCATCTCTGGAGAAGATAGATCTTGGGTATAGAAGGAACAAAAGTCTAAAGCAGAATAAGGCAACTTCAGATTTCAGTGACGATGAGACAGAGTGGAGGAATGGTTACAAAGGTACAGCAGAAGTGACATAGTTTTGTGCCAATAAATACTTCATTGCAGGCAATTCCTTGTAGGCTTTCCTAAACCAGGATGCTTGTCCCTTAATCTTGAAACAGCAAACAAAGAAACCATTGATAGCTTTGAAGAATATTATTTCTAGTGGGACTGAGGAATGCTTATATGCTTCCCTGTGTTCCTCCCCATTAACTAGGATTACGTGGGGCAATTCCGTATGCCTTGAGCCTCCACTTGGGCCTGGAACCAATTGAGAAGCGGCAGTTGATTGGCACTACTACAATCATCATTGTGCTGTTCACAATCTTATTGCTCGGTGGAGGAACAATGCCTTTAATCAGGCTGATTGACATTGAAGACTCTAAAGCCCGGCGGAAGAACAAGAAGGATATCAATCTCAGCAAAACAGAGAAAATGGTGAGCTTCACATGTTCCATATTTAAATGAGATAGATGCTTTTATATGTGAGTCTTGCATAAACCTCTTTGCCTTTCTTCATGCCCGTATATTGGCTTTCCTTGATTTGGCATTCTCAAAATTTGTTAGGATCTATATAGATAATCCTTGACTTACAACCTATCAACTTAGTGACTATTTGAAGTTAAGATGGACTTGCCATGGGGCTACCTATGACCTGGTTCTGAAATGCCAATGGGCCCCTTCTATGGTCACATGACCAAACTTTGGGAACTTGGCAACATAGCCTCATTTATGGCTGTTTGCAGCATCCATGGTCACATGAGAATGTTTTACAATGATTTTGCCAAAAACTGGCACATCTAGTTTTCGGCAAAACTGTGCCAATAGTGAACCATGGGTTTGTTTAACTAACACAGCGTTTGCTTACCAATCATATTAGCTGCTTTATGACTGCTGCATTTATTTCATGACCATTGCAAAAAAAGGTTGTAAAATCGGGTCTGTGACCGACCCATTTTACAAGTGTCACAACTTGCAACTGTAATGGGCAGGCTCCATTACGGTCGTATGCCGAGGACTACCTGTAGCTACCAGAACTCTTCTTATTGGCTGAGGATTCTGATTGTAGCCATAGTACCTCTGAAGCACTGCAATTTGGGTAAGTCTGCTTTCCGTAGATTGAGGCAGAAGAGAGGCAAGGGAGACAGAACTGCGAGAGTCTTTGGAATATTATTGCACAGGAAGCTTCCCTTGTTTTTTTAACACACAGCACCAGTTCAGTAGGCAGGTCATGAACGTAGCCCAGTGTAATGATCAGTCTGCTACCTTTAAGTAAAATAACCTTCCCGTTGAAATTCAGACACAAAGCTACCATTTGGACTGAGCCACATCTAAGTGGATGATGAAAACATACAGGTGGTGAGTCACACATCTTTCAAAAGGACGACAGGGTGTACTTCACTGATAAGCTACAGATGTAAATTACTGCCAAGCAGGTCAAAAAGAAGAAAAAAATATGCATATTTATCTTGGCATAGCAGAAACTCTGTGAAACCATCAGCCTTACCTATGACACTGTCTTGCTTTTTACCAAGTGCTCAAGATTTTCAGAGTCAGCTAGCATTCTGGGAAAATGACTTTGAATTGAAAATGCATTTACACTAAATCCATGTTTTATGCAGCCCAAATGCTTGCTGTTCATAAATCGATTCTCTGCCTGTACTCCAAAGATGCATGTTATAATAGAAATATTATACGTATCAACATTCTTCATGATGTTTGAACCTAGATAAATCATGGTTAAAGTTAACCCAGATCTTTGAGCTTTGGTTAATTAGCATACTTAAATTACTAATCCATAACTAATGCTACAAGTAGTCCTTGATTTATGAGTGCAATTAGGATTGGGATTTTGATTGCTAAATAATGCAGTCATTAAGCAAGTCTTTGTGTGACCGGATCCAATTTTGCAACCGTTTACTGTGGTTGTTAAGCAAATCATGTATTTAAATGAGTCAAGCAGTCATTGATTTGACTCGAGTTAGTCAAATTGATCGTCAAATTGATTTCCACAATTGACTTTATATATTGGAAGCCAGCTGGGAATATTGCAAATTGTGATCCAGTGACTCTGCAGCCAGTGAAAATACAAATGGTCGCCAAGCACCTGAATTGTGATCTTGTGATTGTGGAGGTTGCATGCTGATTGTAACTTCAAGGATGACTTGTAAGTCCTTTTTTCCAAGGCTGCCGTAAGTTCAAACCATTGATAAATGAACAGTTGTAAGTTGAGGACTATCTGTAATCATTATTTTGTGATGGGCCAAATGCATAATGACAGTTAATTGAAAACCAGAACAAGAGCTTCTAATTCTGCAGTTATACTGAATGAAGTAAGGAGTAGAATCAGCCTGCAGACCCATTTTTTTGCTCCAATGGCCTCTTGCAGCCCTCTACCATCAAAAATACAGCCTGGCTTGTGGTGGGTGGGGGGGGGCATTTTCACTGGCAAAGGTCTGCAGGAGGCCATTGTGGCTGAAAACAGGTTCTGGGGGGCATGCTCCATTTTCTCTGGCAGAGGCAGTGTGGGCCGCTCCTTTACTATTTCCAGGGCAGCCCAGTGGGCCAGATCTAAGCGCCTATGGGCCGGATCCAGCCCATTGGGCCTTGAATTTGACATCCCTGTTCTAGATGGAATTAGTTTTATATATGGAATAGCTAGCATAGTAGAGACTGGAAAAATAAAGAGCCGAGTTCTATCTCTTCAGTCCTCTTAGTAGGGGATCAAATGGAGCTCTGTCAGGCCATACCAAAAGTAGAGTTTGTCACACTTAGTGAGGTATTGTCTTTCAATAAATCCCAGTTAAATTAATCATGGATTGCTCTGAAACTGTAACATGAAAGCATGTCAGTCTGTATAAGGCTCACTGAAAGTGTTTCTACATATTAAATGTGTATTTGTGCCGAAATCCTCAGATGTAATTCCACCCAGGCCCTTTAAATATTTAAATCCCCATCACTTAGGATCTCACATGTGTTTGTCAGAAGAAGGTTAGGATCATTTTGGAACAAATGTATTTGCTAGGCTCTGTGCTCATTTCTGCTTTTTTATTTTGTGCTGCAATGCAGTTGTAGAATGTACAGCGTTGGTCATTTTGCAATGTGGACATTTTCTGCTAGCGTTTTCCTCAACCACCCTTTGTTTTGAGGTGGCTGGTATAAATTCAGATCAGGCAAAAGGCAGCTGGAAGGTAAAGTCACAAAACAGACAAGCCATTTTTGTGATAATGACCTGACTAATGAAATACTGGTTCCTAGCAGGTTCTTTGCTGCTTCCTCTTTTATTACATTTGGTGCAATGCGAACTGCCAAAGTCATCAACCAGCACAAATTTAAAGTCTGTGGCAGTCAGAATTTGGCTCTTGAAATGGTTGAATGCAAGTCAAGGTTTCTTTCTTCTTTTATGATCCTTAATTTTTAAATATTACTTGTCTGTAGTGAAATTTCTTAATTTTTCCATTATAACTATCAAGTTATTGACACTTTTATTGAATTGCATGTAAACACAGTGAATAAAATGGTAGGGTTAAGGAACATCAAAGAAAACTGTTTTTTTTTTAAATTCTTATAATCATCTCCTCTTAGGGAAACACCATTGAATCTGAACACTTATCTGAACTGACAGAGGAAGAATATGAAGCTCATTATATAAAGCGGCAGGATCTCAAAGGCTTTATGTGGCTTGATGTCAAATATTTGAATCCTTTCTTTACCAGACGGCTCACCCAAGAGGTAGGTTCAGCCTAAACAAATCCTGTAGTAGATTGACCTTCAGTCTAGTTTGATATCCAAAAATACAATGACTGCTATTAAAATATTAAAATAACCCAAGCTTCCTACACTAATATTTTGACTTCCTCTTTATAGAAACCTCATTTGGCTAGAGTTCAGGCAACCTCTGCCGTGAGTTGTTCTAAGCATAGCTTCGAGTAATCATAGCCTGTTGACAGATTTCTGGCTTATATTCCTTCCCTTGAGTTCTTCTTGCTTTATGCCTTTTAATTGATTGGAAGACTCAATAAGGGAGCAAAAAACAAAACAAGAACAACAAAAACCCAACAGGAATAACAGAATGCATATCTGTTTACATGTCATCTTAAACAACAGTTGCAATCTAAACCAAAAATAGACTAAAATCAGCTAAACTAAAAATAGGCTGAAATAATCCACGGACCTCACCCCATTCACATTAAACCAAGAACAACCTCATTGCAGTTTAGCACAATGCAAATCCATGCAACTATAAGTTTCTTGTTCATGAAACTCAAGAATTATAGTGAATTATTTCCAAACCCACCAGAATAGATAGCCATTTAATATCTAGGATTGGGTTGAAACGTTTGACCATAGTTTTCTGTTACAAAGGCCACTGTGGTTCCTTGTAGATTCTATTCATGCTTTTTTCTGGCATGTGCACAGAAATGATTGAAACACTATGTGTGGCCATACAATGCCTTATTAAAGGAGACATTTCACTCTGAGTCTGAGTTAGGTATCTTAAAGCCATTGAAATGTATGAAAGTTTCCCTTTACAATCAAAATTGGTACTTGACTGCATGTTTCATCCGTGCACAGACCTAGAGCACACAACTTCAACAGAAATAGATTGGAATAGGAGACAACAGATTAAAAAAAAGCATTTGGTTACATGGATGTTTGGCAGGTGGGTGTAGAGTGGCAGCAGGGAAGAAAGGCAAGCATTGACAGGAGAGGTAGGGTGAGTGAGTCAGGTGTACTAGGTGGATGTGTCAGCAGTTAGCAATTTCATGGTGATAGAGAGCAGTAGTAAACAAGGAAGATGAGGGGAAAATTAGATTGTCCAGGTTGAACTGATCTTGAATTGCTGTCGTGGTCCTCATACACTTGAATTCAAGTGTGGTGGTGGCTCAGAGGGCTGGGGTCAAGGCTGGGAAGATTGATGGCCAGGGCATAGGAAGGAGGGGAGAGAGGTGAATCAGCCTTGTCTTGCTTGTCATTGTGACTTCTCTGGATTCTTTTTAGCTGAAATCTGGAATAGTCTAAATCAGGGGTGTCCAACCTTGGCAACTTTAAGACTTGTGGACTTTAACTCCCAGAATTCCTCAGCCAGCAAAGCTGGCTGAGGAATTCTGGGAGTTGAAGTCCACAAGTCTTAAAGTTGCCAAGGTTGGACACCCCTGGTCTAAATGTTTTTTCTTCAGTTGTATCCTGACCAATGGTGGGATTCAAATTGTTTTATTACCAGTTTGGTGGGCGTGGCTTGGTGGGCATGCTTTGCCTAATGCCTGCACGCAGCTTTCCCCACACCAGCTGAGACCTGCAGTGCCAGTCAGCTGAGAGGATACAGGAAAGCGCAGGGGTGAGTGGGAGGGCCGATCCTGGGCTTTGTTCTTCTTTCTCCTCTCGGCTGACTGTAGGAGGCTTATTTTTCACTACCAGTTCAGTTGAAGCGGTCTGAACCAGTAGCATACCACCCCTGATCCTGATCCACTTGGAACAAACACTCAGACCAAACTTCTGAGCCACAATGTGTATATATGCATGAAGGATACCATGGGCTTTGTTCCTATCCCATTAAGCTACCTTGCAGGAAGTGTATGCAAGTAACATTGCTGTAACAAAAGGACAAAACGTTATTCATGCATTCTAGGGAACCAGGTAAGCCATGTGAAGAGTCACATCTTTATTAAAGGACTTGTCTTATCATCTGCCATTTTCAAATGGTTTTTTTTTTTTTTTGTCTCGGTGGCTTCCCGCTTTCAAAATATACATGGAGAGAGAAGGACCTGAGATTTTTCAGTGGAACTCTTCATCCTCTATCCATGTTAATGTGATCGTAGTACTGTCTTGTAGCATTTTTCCTTCTTCCTTTAAACCTAGCATATCAGGTCGATTGAATTTCGTACGTACTGCAGAATTGAAGTTGTACTGCCTTATGCACAGGCAGATGGAGAAGTGCAATTGTAATTTTCTAAAGGGGCTGCCCCTTCCCTTTGCCACAGGACCTACATCACGGACGCATACAGATGAAAAGCCTCACGAACAAATGGTATGAGGAGGTACGACAAGGACCTTCTGGATCAGAAGATGATGAGCAGGAGTTGCTGTAACAGGCTGTTGGTGTGCACGCTTCTGCTGACATCTCCAACTTTAATTTTAAGGCCGACACTCTTATACACACATACCATGCACAACTTGGTATGGTTGTTTTCAAGTGACTCTTTGTCTAGTATAAAGTTGTGTCATGTGCTGAATGCAAGATCATCTCTAATGCCAATTTTTTTTTACTCTTTTGAAATTATGGCACCTGTTCAGGCAGCAATTATCCCAAACACATTAGGATAGTTAATGGATAATAGGGTAATTGGAAACATGGGTGGCACTGTCTGTGAGTTTCTGCTGTAAATGTACGTTAAAGAAAATTCTGTAGAAGAGCTTTAAAAAAAGTTTAGTGCACTTTACTGTACTTTTGCCAATATACTAGCCCTGAACTGGAAGGACAATGCTGTGAATTTGTATTGACAATGAGCAAGTAAGTGAATATTTAAGGCCTATCTCTACATTGCTCTTTAAATATTTAAGGAACTCAGGGTACAGAATGACAAAAGACAGAAACAGCTAATGAAAGCCCCTTGGCCTTTGGGATTTCTAGAAATGTTTGTTCCAATTTGTTATTTCTGAGTTTGAAACAACTTGACACATAATTCCATACTATAACTTCAGATCATTTGGTTCCAGAATAAAGCTTTATTTGAAATCTATCAAGCTTAATTTCCACCCTTCTCATTCCCTTCCTTTGAGAACAGCTCCATAGCACAAGTTTGGATGGGTGGTTTGAAGCCAGAGCATAGAAGAAGCAAATAAAGAAGGAGTTCCTTTTTCTGGGAAAACCCTAAGACTGGAAACAATTCAGCTGCTTTTTTATTAGTCACAGATTGGCCTTTACATACTGTCTAATTTTTTTGCTTGCAGAACCATGTGTACTCATGCAAAACAAAAAAATCATACAATGACTGTACCTTTTTAAAAAGCTGGGTGGGGAATATTACTGGAACTTTGCTATGAGTAAAAAACATTGGTCGATGGATTATTATTACACTAAAAGTGAGGGGAAAACGATGCATTTCTTTTCCACCTGAGGAAAATGGAGATATTTTTGCAAACCACATAAATTCCCATTTGTATTCCAAACTGGTACAGCCTTAGAAAGCTTATTCCACATGATTTTTCCTCATACACAAAACTGTCTCAAGATTCACTGCATATAGAAAGGAGTACGGAGTCCCTAGACAGTCCCTTATCCTCAGTTGCTTGTAATAGGCGTGGCCCATCACCCCTATAAAACAAACATAACTAAATATTCCTCATGTAACTAATCCTAACCTTGTTTCTTTTGCCATGCTGTCATGGCAGACTGATAAAGCTTGCACAAATGTTCTTTTACGAACATGTTCTCAGTAACATTGTGCAATATTGAGAGCAGGAATGCTGCAGTAGGTGCACTTCAGATCAATTAATTCAAAAGGTGTGAGGAAAGGAAATAAAACTGAGTCATTCTATAGGAGCCAAAGGGACACTATTCTTGATGCCAGATTCTGCTGGGGATACATGCCAGGACTGTTCTGAAGCCAAGTGAATGAGGATGTCTCTTATTTTTTTCCCTGCAGAGTAGGGATATATTATTACTTCACATTGTGAAACATTAGCTAAGTTTGGCATTAAATAAATGTATTCAATAACAGTAGGCAAGTTTGGCATTAAATAAATGTATTAAATAACATTAGGCAAGTTTGGCATTAAGTTAAATGCATTATTTCAGTTTATATGATTCCCCATATAAATTCATGACTCTGAGCATGTGGGAATTAAAAGCTATAGAAAAACATAAAGCAGTATAAAAAAACTTGCATAAATAAAAGCAGTAGCTGAGGTTAAAAAAACAAAACAAAAGCAAAACTACTATCAGTAATGAATACAACCACTGCATGGGCTTGGCTTTGCATCTAGATCCCCAAGCTTGATTACACTTTCACAAATTTAGAGTGAAATTAGCCCTGAAGATTGCAGATGGTGCTTTATCATCCAACTGTGGCAGAATGCTTGCTCAATTACCAGCGTGCAAGCATAGTTCACCCATCTCTTTTGAGGTTTATGCTGTATTTCGGACAACTATCTTAAATGACAAGGTCAAAATACACTAAATACTCGATTTCATGTAAATAGACTTCTGAATTTCTTAAAAAAATACTGGAATATAAATATAGTAGAAATGCAGTTTAGCTTACCCAACTATTTAGGCACATGTAGACTTCTCTGGTAGTAGTAACAGAAGAATCTGCATTCTATTAAAGAAGCTTATTTAGAACTCCTAGCCAGTCCTCTAGCAAAAAATATTGGATTAAAGCTCTCATAATCCCCAATCAGCATAACCAATACAGTTGTAGAATATAAGGGTTGGAAGGGACTTGAACATCATTTGGTCCAACCACCTGAACACCAATAAGCACTCTCAGCAGATGGCCATCTACCTTCTATTGAAACACTTCCACTGAAGGACAGTCCATTGTCTTCTGAGGCAAGTGGTTCTTTTATTGAACAGTTAATATTAGAAAAACATTCTGATTTCCAATCCATGATTTCTTGTTCTGTATTCTTGAACAGTACTGATCATAATGTACACGACAGACCATCAGATACTGAAGACATCTGTCATGTTTTTCCACAATATACTCAACAATTCCAATAATTTCTCAGAATTTTTTCCTTCCCCTTCCTCTTCCTCTTATCCCCTTGGTTATTTTCCTGTGGCACATTCAAGTTCATTAATGTTCATTTTGAACTGCTGAGCTGGAACTGGGCATAATATTCTAGGAATGGACTCGAGGAAATTTATATTGATTACAATATCAGGTATTCCCAAACTACTCAACTCATGTTTTAGGACAAATCACGGTTATAAAATAGGTTTGTGTGTTAGCTTCATGATGAAGATGAAGATGGTGTAATATCCTGGCCAAGCTTTCCCTAAGCATGTTTTCATATGTGTATGGCTACAACTTTCAAAGTTTCCCAGAAGTGTTGATTCTGGGACTTTGGGAAGTTGTCATTCCAATGTATCTGGGGTACTTCAGTTTGGTGAAGGCAATTCTAACTATTGATTATAAAATAAATTGTTCTGTATCTAATGGAGAAAAGTACATCTTATAAAACCTTGGGGCCCATATGAAGCATTCAATTACTGGATAATGCCAAAGTCTGTTCTTTGATAACTCAAGTATTTTAAGGAATAAAATCATGCTGAAAGTTTCTTCAAGGTTTAGGGTAATCATTATACTCCTGAATCTATCCAACCTACTCAGTTGGAAAAATGAAAACAGACACCATCCAGGTGTCTGGAGATGGTAGGTTTGAGGTGAGGAGAGCTCCTAGGTCCATCGCAGAAGGAGTGCTGGCAGGTGACGTATCCTGACTACACTTTCTCTTCTCATATCTGTTACATTTCAATTGCCAGTTTGCAGGATCAACTAAGACTATTTTCAGCCTTGGGATTTTTAGTTGCTGATCTCTATAGTGCAGTGTCTATGGAAGATACTATTTTAGTCTTTCATTAAGTTCAGCTAATAGTTGTTCATTTAATTTGTACATTATCATTTGTACATTTATTTCAATTGTGATTCTATCCTATTGTAGAGAGAGATATGGTCTGTAACATCAAGATAGCGCATCTGTAGGCATACATAATTTTATTACCAGTGCACATAATGGATTGAAATTACTGCAAAGAGTAACAATACACTCTTTCCATTAAGCATTTTTCCTGTGCAAGTATATTATTCTGCAGAGGTACACATTTCAGTGTTATGATTTACAGTGTTAAAACTATAAGGTTTATTAAAGCAAGAGGTTATCACATCAATATTTTTATGGTAGCATATGTCAGACAGACCCCCCCCCCCTCAATGTTTATTGGCACCAGTGTCCCTGGAGACATCTCCCTGGTGCCCTCCAAGCTCTCTGCTTACCTGGCTTTATCATCTTTATTTTAAAAAAATACATTGTAAAATAGCTCCCTGCACCATTTCTTTACAAAATCAAAGTGGTAAAGCTGCAAAAGGCTTTTGGAAGACTTTAATAGCCCAAAATTTTATTCATCCAGTCTCTAAGGTTGCCAAACTGCCTATGATTCTGGGCAGTTTACAAAGGGTTGAAGTGAATAATATTATTAATAAAAGAATAATTTTTAAAACGGCCATGCTGATGGGCAATGAAGGGGGGGGGGGCATGGAAAAAAACCATAACAATTAAACTATACAATCTCAAGTGATAGAATCTCGCAACTTCCTGGACTACATCTGTGGGAAGTGTCAAGTCTTTAAGACTCCCTTAAAGCAGGGGTTCCCAACCGCCAGTCCTTGGGCTGGGCCACGGCATGCCAGAAACAGGTCCATGCAAACAAGTGAAGCCCCATCCATGGAATGCAGGTAGCACACAAAACCATGCCCCTTCTAGTCCGCAAAAAAACCTGTCCCCAGGGAACCGGTTGGGGGCTGCTTCCTTAAGGCACAGCAGGGTTGGGTGGGACCATATGGAGTGGGTAGGCTCATGCTGTTCGAGAGGGCAGGCCAGATAATGCTGTTGATTAGATGGGACCCAATGCGTGTCAACTTTATTGGGCTATATGAGACAGACAGAAACAATTATAGAAAGACAGCCTTGCAAATAGCCAAAGTTTTTTAGGCGACAATATTTTGTAGTGTCTTCTAGATGAATCAGTAACTTCAAGATAATGGGAATTATCATCAAGGACCATCAAATTATTATTTTTAATTTGTTTGGTGAAAAATCCATATCAACTGTATTTATTTCTATTCAGATGTAAACTCAATTAAAGTCATTTTACCCTTGCCTTGCCTACTTTATGGAGTGTAGTCTGTGGCACCTCAGTCATAGAGTAAGCAACAAGTTGAGATTTTCTTTGAACTTGACATTATTACTGTGTGCCAGAAAGAATTTTAAACAAATGTTAGTACTTGTACAATTAACTGCAATCTCTACAATGGCTATTGTTTCTATAAGTTATTTATCAGGAATAGCATCAGTTTTTTTTTTCCTATACCTTATCATTTTATATCAAACCGGCTTAGAAAGCAGTATTTTTGGTTAGGAATATAAGAACATTTCTGAAGTTTTATCATATGGAGGCTATCAAGACAATAGAATGAATAAGATTTCAGCTTCAGATTATGTCCCTACATGAAACATTTTGGCAGATTATGATGTCTGTGCATGCAAGTCAGTATTTCATCGTCAGAAATAGAGGTATGGTCTTCAATGTACCTTGCAAAGCACAAAATGTTTGCCTTCTCTCCCCCCTCCCCCTGGCTGGGAAAATATTCTGTCTCCCAAGGCCTACAGAATAGGGTTTGTATATGCCCAACCCAACAAGCCAGTAATTTCTTTCAACTTCTTTTGTTATGTTTACAGCAGTGAATAAGAATGTTTGAAAACTAGGGAAAAGATTCAAGGGCCAGATTCCAATATTAAGTGGGACCAAAGATGAAGTGGGCCAAACCTAAGAAAGATGTTTCCATCATAAACAAGAGTACTTGCCTACTGATAGACAAATAAAGGCGTCAGTCAACAAAGCTGCTTCTTTGCAGGTGTGTTTATAAGGGAAAGATTAAAAAAAAAGATTGCAACCATGTCTGTATGATTGTCTGTATGATCAAATCCCTGTCCTTTTTTAAAAAATTAGGTAATCTCTTTATCTGCCTACTTTGAAGTGAATCTGACTAGATTCAGTGAAGCCCCTCTCCTGTATAAAAGGGAATAAAACTGCAGCCACAAACAACACAGATGCAGATTCTTCCAGCATTCTCCCCCTCTATTTTTGCTAGTTGATATAAAATCTACAGGAGCACTTTTTGATAGAATGCTTCAAAAATTTTCTCTTTTGATTGTGCAGTCTAATTTGCGTTCTGTTTCAATGAGTTCAGTGTGGCAAACGTGGATTGAATGCAAAATTCTGCAGCTCCATATGAAAAAAGACAAATATCTCTCCTGTTATATATCTAATGTATACCTGAGGTTGGGATACCTACAAAATAGCTATCCTAAAATGTAGATGGGAGGCAGAATAACTGCTTGTTATTATTTAATTGACAATAATCTGGATCAGAGGTGGTATTCAACAGGTTCTGACCAGTTCTGGAGAACTGGTAGCGGAAATTTTGAGTAGTTCGGAGAACCGGCAAATGCCACCTCTGACTGGCCCCGCCCCTATCTATTCTCTGCCTCCCGAGTCCCAGCTGATTGGCTGGGTCTTCTTTGGTTGCCCTGCACAGGAGAATGGAGCTGGAAAGCAGGTTAGTGGGGTGGGGAGGGAATAGGATTTTGCAGTAACCTTCCCCCAGGTGTGGGGAGGGAATGGAGATTTTGCAGTATTCTTCCCCTGTCACGCCCACCAAGCCACGCCCACAGAACCGGTAATAAAAATGTTTTTGAATCCCATCACTGATCTGGATGCCTTGCCTTTAATTGCTGGTGAAAAATCCTTCTCCATCAGAAAGAGAAAGATTCCCTGTTAAAATAGGCATGAAATAAACATTTCTGAAAAAGCACCTTTAGCAGGAGGGGTGGGGATTTTGGGAGGAACAGCAACAGATTCTTCCAGGTTTGTTACTTTTAACTATTGGAACTTTGTTTTTTTCCAGGATGTTTTTCCAAGATATTCCAGGTAAGGTTTTGGTAGAAGAGAGTGCTTTGAAAAATATGGTGGCTCACCAAAATTCATGATGCTGTCTCTAAACTCCTCACCTTTGGGAATAAGCTGTATGTCACATACTGAAATGTGAGTTTGTATTAGATTTGGTGAGAATAGCAGAAAGACAAACAACCTTGTGCCTCACTTTGAAACAGTCGCTTCCACAACAAGAATGGTTGCTTAAATAGCCTGGAGAAACCAGGCTAATAACAGCAAAAAGGGTTCACATGTCATGTGACAGGTTGGATAAGCCCACCAATTTATTTGTGGTTGTGTGGTTTGATTTAGAGCAGGGGTCCCCAAACTTGGCAACTTTAAGACTTGTGGACTTCAACTTCCAGAATTCTCCAGCTAGCTATGCTTAAAGTCTTAAAGTTGCCAAGTTTGATTTAGAGCATTGTTTTTCAAACTTGGCAACCTTAAGATGTCTGGACTTCAACTCCCAGAATTCCTCAGCTAGCATGGTGGTTATGAAATGGTGGCTGGGGAATTCTGAGAATTGAAATCTACATTCTAAAAGTAGTCAAGTGTGAAAAAAGTTGGCTTTGGGTGTCATTATGCTTATTATTGTTACTTCTATTGTTTATTATTTATGATTTGTTTTTGTTCTTTGTTGTTGGTTAATCTTGCATTTACTGCCAGTAACTCAGTTGCAGGATAGACATCTATATAAATCAAATTAAAGAATGCAATCAAACTTTTGACAGTTGATTATATTCCATCACAAGATTCTCACAATGGCTTATTCAGCCATTTTATTGAAAGGGAAAAAAAGGTGGATCATGTCACACAAATATCAGCAATGAAATAAATTCTCTTTTAGGGTCCCATTTATCCTTAGGGCAGAGCCTTTATTGTTCTTATGGTAACTATTCCTGGTTGAGCAGAACCTGTAGCCAACCATCTACAGACATACCGATGATGTAATTTGTTTTTTTGACAAAGTTTCCTCCTTCCCAGGCTCGGAGAAGACCATGGTTAGTTGATTAAACAAGAATGGGATATGTTCATGCATTATACTAAACCTTAAACCATACTTTACAAGCCATAATTAGTAGGATTTACACAAGGCTGTAAGTTACAATAAAACCCTATTATAACTTACTCCTATTTCTAGAAAGAGACATACTATAAGAAAGCACACATCAGATGTCTTTGAAAGGTTTTGACATGCATTTTTAAATCTTGGATTTAAAGTCTAATGTTTGGGAATAATAACATTATATGTTAAGTCATTAAGATTACTATTTATAAAAATTTCCATCTCCTATTATTCTTTTTTCTAAAGGTGTCATGTATAAAAATTAACCCCCAAGTATCATTTGATTTGGCTAGTACAAACATTCTCATGGAAGCATAAGTTAATATCAAAAAATGTCATTCTCATTTCTTTGAATCATAAGAAAACACACATGCATTTTGGCATTATACATAGCAATATTAACTTTAGGAATTATTTTTTACGGAACTTTCCTTTTTTAAGCTGAAGTATAAGTGGAAATTCACTGTGAATTTGTCCTTCACATATTTGTAATACTGTTACA